ATCTTTGATGAAGTTTAAATCAGTAGAATAATTAATGTGTTATTTGAGAGAAAATATTTATGTTCCACTTAAAAATGTTATTTATTATTGCATTAACTCCTTTGTTAAAAGCACTTTTAAGATAAAAGTATTATATATACATATTTTTCTATCTTTTCAACAGTTATCTTTGAAATTAATTCATTATGCTTTTATTAACTTTCAATAAGTATCAATACAATCCCCTATTTTTAATTTTGTATTTATTAATATAGTTAAAATAGTTTTCAGCATTAGATATTTGGATTTACATGTCCTTCTCCAAAGTGGACACTTCTCTTTAACGAACATATTTCTCTATTCCAAAGGTGTCCACTATACTTAAGTTTCCCAGAGTTCTTACAAACAATAAGAAATCTTTTAACTATGCTAACAATTAATATTTAACACAATTAATATTTTAACACAAGAATAACACTTTGAGAACCTGTAGCAACTTTTAAGGTTCTCAATTTAAGTACATATGTATCACACTGGGTTTATTTACACTAAAGCTGAAATAGATCTAGTAACCAAGAGTAGATAAACTGAAGGTTTTGCACCAGTGGAAATTATCCTCATTTAAATCTGGAAACAAATATTTGGGTAACAATCAATTTCCTCAATGAATGTTACAATTTTTGATTAGTGTAGTTAGTTTATGCAATTATGTAAGAAAAACAACATGAAGCTAAAGCATTTGAGAACTTTTCAGCTAAATAAATTTTGCAAATTGCAAAAGTTATTAAGAGCGTTTTTATTTTACTAACTGTACAATTAGGCTATAAATTCAGTTAGTATTACACAAGTCTATGGTCACAGATCATCTCTGCATTCATTATTTAAGGTGTAACAAATAATAGTTGATGTAAACTTCTTTTAAAAAAATGATCTTCTGTTTAAAGATTTACTTTTTTTTTTACAAGATCTTAAAAATTACTTAATTAAATCTGCTAAATAATTTAATGAGTTTTTTACCCCAAAATTGTCCACCCTTACTTCATGATATAATTTAGTTGTTTTCTTATGCAACAAAGTAGTTTTTCCTTTTGTTATTCAATGAAGAAGCAATGCTTGCCAAGGGAAATTTTGTACATGCTTATTCAAGTTGTTTAACAGTTGAAAGTGATAATTACATATTTATGCTTATGAAAAAATTGGTAAAATGAATAATTTCATGGAAATGAATGCTGAATACAGTGCTTAGATTTGGGAAAAACTCCATGTCATAGCTGGCTTTCCAAATTTAAGTACATAGCAAGAAACTCCATAGTATTTTTTTTCTTTTCGCAAAGGGTTAAGAAAATTTTCAAAATTTATTTAACACCATGAATCAGAAAGCATCAGATACAAAAATTCAGTTCGAGATCCAGTTAGTGCAATGCAGATTTTGTTTTAGAAACATGCATATTATTTATTATTATTGTATAAAAAATATTAATGTGTTTTTGTAACAGAATGATATGGAATTAATAAGAAAAAGTCAACATAAAGAAAAAACATATGAAAGTGATAAATTAATCAAATCTATTTCTTGTCAATAAATTTAGTGTTTAGCAAACAACAAGGAAAACTCTGCCGCAAAGCACAGTTGTTTCTGCTGATTATCAGAAAAATTAAAGACAAAATATATGTCATTAAGTACGACCATTAAAATTTTTCTTTTCCAAAAACTGATTTAATTGAGTTTTAGAATAAATATTTAGTAGATTATAGAAGCCTTTCTTTAAATTTTGTAATAAATATGTTTGAGGAAAGTGATATTCAGATCTCTTTAAAGCGAGATATATTTTTGTATGTTAAAAATGTATAAATATGATTAAGAATAAAAAGAGACAAATTTATTAAGGATAATAAAAAGCTGATTATGCTCATATATTTCCTTATGTTCGGCTCCTAAGTGTTAAAATGTAGAAGGAGTTAGTTATTCTGAAGGACTATTTGAGTGAAACTCACCTATTAATGGCACAAAAAGTCTCTCAACAACAAAAAATTATGGATGCAAGCATGATTTCTATTATCGGTCAAATTTTCTGTCTATTTTTGAACATAACTGTTTCAAAAAATTTTGCATCTAAGTAAAGGACATTTTCTCTTTCCTTAAAAATGAAAAAATACTCACTGAAAGTATAAATAAAATATAAAAAAATTGTAATTGATGAATAAACTATACAGTAAAGTGAGTAAGTTTAAATTTGGAAACTGTTTATGTGAGGAGTAATATAAGGTTAAGAGAGTAGTTGATGAACAAATAAATAAAACTATTAATTATTATATTAAGTAAATTGATTGTATATTTATCTTGTTAAATTTATTGTTTCGTTTTCATCTTTTAAAATCAAAAAATTGTTTTATTACCAACATAATAAAAAATTTTACTATAAATTATCAATATAAACATATTTCAGGCTCTAATTATTATCTGAAAAATCAAAAAATTTTAAGCAAGGGGATTCTATTAATTATATTTTATTCAACACCATAGTTATCAGTAAAATGTATTTTTAATTTTACAAAAGTGATACATTAAATAAAGGTAATGAGTCAATATTTTATTTACAAAGTTCCATCACATCAAAAACATTGAATAACTACCAAATTGACTAGACTAGCAGATAAAATAACAGGATTTGAGGCTACATGTTCAAAAATTGAATACTGTCCTCACATAACAACTCAATATAATAAGATCAAATCTTATATGGGGCTATTTAGCTGAATAATGGACATTTTGACAGATATGAGTATAAGCTTAATATATTTATGAAGTTTCTTTACATTAACAACATTCATAAATTACCATATTTGATTAGCACACTCAAAAAATTTGAATTTGGAGGCTACACATTAAAATGTTATCTAGCAACCATACACCTTGAGAAATAGAACCGCTCAAAATAAGTGTAAGATCAAATATTGCTCTTACTCTGGACTGTTCAGCTGAATACACATTTTGTTATATATGTCAGTTATAGCTTGTTAAGAGAAAGCGATTTTACCAACAAAATTGTCGTTACACTTTAATAAAAACTTTAAACTAGTTAAATAATCCCAATATGAACTTTAAAATATTTACAAATTTCGTAACAAGAAACAAATGTTACTTAGAAATGCCCAAGTTTAAAATATTGATAATCTAGTTTTCTTATTAGTTTAAATTTAAAAATAACTCGCACTTAAAAAAAAGGACAATTTTTTTTCTTCTTCATGGTTTATATTATTTCAGTGAAGGCATTTTTTCTTTCCAGAGTTGTTTAGCATATCGTGATATGAACATGATACATAATCGAAACCTAAGCTTGGTAATAGTGTTTAATTCTTCTTTTGATGTGCAGTTGATCTCAGCTCCGAGAGATCAGGCATTTTTCCGACATTTAGTTTAAAAGAAAAGTATATTTAAAATGAAATGGACTTCTAATTTTTGGAAGCATGTGTATGTTAATATTGCACTTATAAAAATTTTCAAACATTAAGTAATAATATAATGATAATAATAAATTATTAAATCTACAGTGTAAGAAATGATAAATAAATGGCTGGCCCTGACTCTGAGATTATATTATATCTTAATCTGTAAATTTTTTAGAAAACTGAAAGGTTTAAATTTTTATTATTTTTTTACAAGACATTCAGAGAATGACTAATAATAATAATTCTGACAGTAAAAAGACAAGCTAAATATGTATGTATTATTCAACAAATAAACTTCAGAAGAAATGTGTAATGTGTACGTGAATATATAAAAATGAAACTATTTCAATTAATGAAATTATAATACTATGCAAAAACAAATGCAAAGTAACACTAGTAAAATAATTTTTTACACACATACATATATGAGTATGTATATATATATGATGTTATATATATATAGAGAGAGAGACAGTCAAACCTCCTTTAACAACCAATTTTAAATAACAGCAATCTCCAAAGAATGGACACATATTTATGGAAACAAATGGTTTTTTGTAGGGTCTACATAAAAGGAAACCATAACAATTTCTTAAATATGGCCAACCAAAATCTAGCAACAATTTTGTTTCAGGATAGATCATAGTAAAATTTTTCACTTTTTCATCTCTAGACTGTGATAATTTTTATTGACCATAGTAGAATATACTTTTGCTTGTTGGTCATTGCATTCCAGTCATTGTAAAATAACTATTCTAAGCATTCATACAAGAGTCAATCATAGGTACTATTCAACAGTTCAATTCCACCTACTACAGATAACTTTCATGGGTGGTCTGTATGAATCTTGCTCTAGCATTTACAATATTAAGCAGTTTCTTTATGTGACATCAGTTAGCTAGGCTAAGCAACCAATCCACCTTTATAGAAAGCATAGATTTGAGTAAACTTTCTGTCAAGTGGTGAAGTAATCACAAGTTTCGGATAGTCAATGATATATGAGAAATCAATTAAATTTATCAGGGCAGCTCTGAAATAAAAACAGTTTTCTGATGTTCTACAAAATTTTTGTGAAGTCCAAACTTTTGCTCATAATTATGATGATGAAGATGCATCATAAAACTACTGATATCATTACGAATCAAGAAAAAAAATTTTATAAAAGAAAACACTTTGTGCAGTTGATTTCTTTAAATATTGTTTGTAAGATAATATATAATAGTAGATAAAATCATTTTTGTTAATGGATATTGAGTCTTATTTTTTGAACTAAAACTTCTTTGTTAATCCACATTGGCATGAACATACAAAGAACTGTTATTTGGAGGTTTCACTATACATGAATGTGTATATAAATGTATGTGTATATAAATATATATATNGTGTGTACATAGATATGCATGTGTGCGCATAATATGTGTGTGTGTGTATATATATATACATATAATAAATAATGAAATGAATAAAAAATAAATGAAAAAATAATGAAATAAAAGTATTTTTTGTAAACAAAAAGAATTTAAACATTGCAAAATCAAATTAATAATTTTGATAAGATTTAATTTTTCCCATTTGAACTTTGAATTTTAGTGTTGGGTTTGTATTAAAAATAAGATATTTATAAAACATTGTGATTAATTTGAATAACCATTCAAGTAAAAATATCTGCTATTATAGTGTTCATAAACAACTAATGGGTTTAGCCTACATTAGAATAAAGGTGACAGTTGAATGTACCTTACATCAGATTCATTTTACACATCATACAATAGCAAACTCAACATTAAATATACAATAAAAAGTATTATGACTATACATAGATTGCAGTTATTAATATCATCTTTGAAAAAAGTGACATATCTTTTTTTTTTTTTTTTTTTTTTTNTTTTTTTTTTTTTTTTTTTGCAAGCAAATATTTTTAAGTTAGAACTATGATGTAAACAAGAGACTATGAAAATAATAGCATTATACAAATAATTATGGCTGGATAATTTATCTAGTTCACGTTTCAGCACTCTTTCGCATTCTGGCAGGAAAAAATGTTCCAAACACATTTTTTAGAGCAGCTTTAATGTCCTGAAAATTGAAAAATTTTTTTGTAAAGTTTTTGTTCACAACGCATTTTTAGTTTAGTTAGAAAACTGAAATTGAGTATACACAGTATACTAAAACATTTTTAAAATTTAAATAGATCAATCTAATTACATTTTCATATTAAGCTTAATAGTTTCTTATTTATTTATTGAATGCTTTGTACCGAAATAAATAATCATATTAATGCAAAAATGCAATTTATAAATGACATATTTTATGTATCAAGTAATTATGTTTTGTCTGTGTATACATAAAAAGCAAAACACGCATTTCTAATTCTTCTAATTGTTAGAGATAAAATTTAGAACATGTGCTCACTACGCAATAAATAGTAAGACCAAAAAAGCTTCATTTTGATATTTCGTAATATTTAGCCATGGGGAAATTAAGGGGTAAACTAACAGCATAAGTAAAACAGTTTTACCAAGATACTTGAACCATGATATTTGGTCTCAAACTTGGATCATGTGTAATAAGAAAACTATAAAGAAATAATAAGGACATAAAGGACAATGGATAACATAAGGATATAGTGGATAATAATAGACACTACCCTACAATAATTGAAGAGACACTTTCAGTTTTTGACTTTTTTTTTAAATTTCACAGGAAATACTAAAGAGAATTTTTTTTTTAATTTTAGAGCTGTTTAGGTCATGCAATTTCTCAAACTTATCAATAAACTTCAAAGCTTTCAAAGATTTGATAGACCAGCAATTACAAAAAAAAAGTGTTTTTAAACAGCCTATGTCAGAAAATACATCAATAAACTTGCAATTAGTTTCGATTACCTTGGTTACTATACACAATCGCATAAAATTTTGTAGACCTAGCTTAAGTATTTATGAAGATGCAGATATTTTTTTTAAATAAAAGAAACTTTTTTTTGTCTTAGCTTTTTTCTGTTTCTTTCCTTCTTTCTTTTTTTTTTGGCTATAACTGTAAAAGTGTTCAATAAAATTAAACAAAAATTTTAGAGTGATTTTTAATTAATAACAAAACTATCATTCTAAAATGTTAAAAAAATTCATAAAAATTGTGCAAGATATGAGCATTTATAGTTCTTTCCTACAGTGCATGTACAGAAAAGACTGGAATTCTTGTTTTTCTAATTTTGTGGGGAATGGTAATTGGTAACTAATTTAAATAGTTTCAAGTAATATGGTAAACAGTTTTTGCAGGTTTTGAAAAAAAAGAAGTTCTAAATGGGAAAGAATTTTCCAGAAATTTCAGTTTGTATCATAAGAAAAAATTTAATAACAAATGATAATACCCCACAATAATTGTTTACACACCAAAATGTGATGATATAAGAAAAGAAAACATACTTTTATGGGAGATGATGACCCATAATAGCAGAGTTATTTTAAATAACTCGAGTTTAATAGTAGAAAATGACATTTGTGGAAAAGCCTTTATCATTCAAAGCTTTTTTTTAAAAATTGTACGAAAACTTGGAAATTTGCTAGAAACTTTTTAAATTTTCCAGATATTCAAATTGGACTGCATGATAGATCAGTTACTAAAGATAGAACTATTTTAAATGCTTATATCTTACACAATTTTTAAAGCATGTTTTTTAAAATTTTAAAAGGATAATTTTGTTATAAATAAAAAATTGCACCAATAATTTTGCTTAATTTCATTGAATATTTTTAATAAATTATCATGAATGGTTACAAAAATTAGGGTAGTTTTGATTCTTTGATACATTGCTTTGATTAGTACAGTGATAAAGTGTTTTAGAACACCTTATATCAAAAAACATAGCAAAAAACTTGTATTGATTACTACTTTATATGCAATAATTGAATAAAATTTCATAAAAATAGTATAAATACTTATGGGGATATTCACATTTTTATAAAAAACTAATTATTTTGTCTTACATGTTTCAGCTATTTGTTTGTATGTTTTGTCTAGTCAAACTGCCCCAAAAATTCTTGAATGGTTACAAAAATTAGGGTAGTTATTTTTCAGTTTGATTTAAGAGGGTGGAAAATGAAGTCTGTAAATGATAATCTCTCGCAAAATGCAGCAGAGTTACACATGAGAGGACAAAAATCCTTCCCAATGAATCCAGCTCCGTGTGCGTACTAGCGGATCCATAATTATTTCATCAAACATGTAAAACGAATGGCGTTTTCATAAGCTATGGACCGACAGTACCCTGAAATAGATTAGGGTTAAAATATGAAAATGTTGAATAGAACTTCTTTCGAACTTGAAACTTTTTTAGAACTTGAAATATGAACGTCTTTCTGCATAATTCGTGGCGAAATTCAACATGGTAAAGAAAAAATATTTCATTTTGGAAAAGGGAAAATTGAGCACTTAAAAGCACCTAATAAAAAAAAACATATTCAAGGGCTTTTAAAAAACAAAAATAAGTACCTTTAAGTACTTTTTAAAAAAGCTACACACCCTGCACTCATAATAGTCATTTTTTAACAAGCAATGCTTGGCCACACAGAGCAAGGGTGTCACATGAATGTCTCAACCACTTTTCTACCTTACCCTGGCTTGCTCGATCTCCAGATTTGTCACTAAAATGATAATTTTGCTTTGATTTTTTAATCACTTACTTATAGCAATGTTGTACTTACATAAAATTTCGTTTCATTCTGACAAAGCTTTCTAAGTCCACTAATTTTTATGTCACTTAAAAATAAAGTGCAGGATTTTTTTATTTACATTTTTCTAGTTCCAACTTTACTGGAATGGAAGAACATTTTTGCACTATAGAGATATGGAAACAATATAAATGTTATTTCACCTTCTTAAAATACAGAGTTTTAAACTAAAAGTAAACAGAGCTTACCTTTTTTTTCACACCTGATGTATTGATATTAGAACTTTGTCTACGAGCATCCAAGCACTTTTGGTATCTTAACTGAAAGAATATATGTTTCTTACATCTTTGCTTAACATCAAAGTAATTTGTGAAAGAAAATGTAAGCAAAAAAGAAAAGTAGCATTGCTAATGCATATTTTTTTTTTGAGGAATCGAAAATTTTTTGCACGCAATTTTAAAATTAGATTATCCAAAACTAATTTCATGCAGAAAATAATTTTTAATATTATTATTCTTTATTATTTTACCTTTAAAAAAATTCAATAAAAACTTTAATTGTGGGAAATATAAATTTTCACATCATTTTAAAGAAAGTATTCATAGATTGCAAAATACAAATTGGAGAGCAATCAATGGAATAATTTTTGAAAAATCAAATTTTAAATGCACGATTTTTAAAAAATTTGATTAAACAGAGATTATTTGACTGATTGCACTCAGAAATTACCCATTACAGATTTTTACTAGCTACCCAGACACTTATTAACGAGTTTAAATGAATACGAGACAAGAGTAATGGTCAAATATAACCACAACCTTTGAAATACAAACTCTTCAGTGACCTTCACCTTTCAGTAAAGAAAATAAAGGGCTAAAAAGAAAATGAATGATCATGGGTGGGGCGAAACGCATGAATAATGTTCTGTGATTTCAAGGTCAAGAATATTTATGACATCCACAGCATAATATAAATTTAGTGTGAGCAAAACTAAAAGAAAAAGAAGATTCCCTCTCCTCTAGACTGAGAAACCGAAAGAAGGGAATAAAATGTTTATCTTTTCTTCCCCTCAACCTCCTGTATCACTAGTACAATGACCTGAACAGGGGTGATTGTGAGCCCAAGTCAAAATTGAGGAAAATTTTTTGAGTTAAAAAAAAAAGTTTAAATTGAAAAATTAGAAAAAAATTTAAACAATGTTTTTTTCCCCCTTTTCTCAATATTTCTTAGTTTACTTAAAATATATTTAAAATTTTACACATACCTATGATGACCTGGAGAAGTAATTAAAATTTACAAATATGTCTTTCTTTCTTGAGTATTCTTGATTATAACAACTATTTACTGATAAAAAATTAATATTAATCATGAATATAAGCTTTTAAAGTATCTCTCTGGCTCTCCCTTACAAACAAATAAAATAAACTGTGTTTTTAAGTTCCACCTTTGAAAATTTGATTTTCGGAAACCTCTGGATCACTGTTAGCAAAAATTCCGGAAATCCGGATTTTTTCCGGAGCATAATCAGCCCTGCCTGAAGAAGGATCGCAACGAAAATTAAACAAATTGTTCTTTTGATCATTTGTTGTAGACTGGCGATTTTAATTTTCTGTTTATTTCAAAAATTTAATATATAAAGAAGCTTAGCTTAAGCTTTAACCCTCCTGGCATTTCCCCTCTCTCTTAGTTTCTTACTTCAAGCGGCAGACACATTTTAGAAAGATGCTACCAAAAGTGTCGAGGGTCGGACAAAAGGTATGCTTTTCCCCCTTCTGCTTCAATTTGTGGTTAAAAGGGGTGATTATCAGTGTAGGTGGTCAAGGAGGGTCAAGACAGTTTGATGGATGAATTGTGTTTTGTGATTCACTTTTCTGAAAGTCGTTGTTGAACTTCATACAATCTTACACTTTTCTCTGAAATATCAAGCAATTCTTTCGTTCTGATAAGATAATTACTTTCAGGTTATGTTACATTCTTTCTTGTCCTTAGCTTTTTCACAATGATATAGTTGAAATATAACATCAAAGGAATGTTCAATGAAATGGAGCTGAATAGATTCTTGTGATTGATAATTTTTCCTTCCTGTTTCCTGTGATTTCTTTTATTTCCCAGATACATTTGCGGCTACCGTCTAAGTTTTTTATTTTAAAAAATGCGTGTGCATTTTAAATTGCCTCATTTCCGAATTCAAAGTACAATTTCGTTGATATACAAGCTAGTAAAAAGTCATATTTATCTTTTAAGTATATTAATGATATTTTTAAATTTAAAAAAATAATTAATGAGTATTTTTTCAATAATGTTCGATTAGAAAAATAACTGCTGTGAAATGGATATTATTTATTTAATTCCCGTTTTATTTCTCTTTTTCTTTGAAATTAAGTAAAAAAAAAAAAAGCTTTCGTTGAACGCTGCTGTTCTAAATATGGAATATTGTTAAAAACGTACTTAAAACTTTTCAATGTACGTTAATACTCTTTAAATAGTGCTCGTATTGAATTTCAAGTTATTTGGATAATTTATTCTTAATTCGTCTTTTAAATATTTAAGTAAAAGCTGTTCATATTACACTTTATAAAATTGATTAAAAATATAAATTTTTATATATGCACTAGTTAAGCAAAACTGCATTTTTTATTGTAAATTTTCTTATTTTATTTTATAGGGTATTATCAATAATAAAGCTTAAAAAAATTCGTGACCTTATGAAATTTTACATACAAAGAATATATATCAGTCCAGGAATTGTTGCAAGAATATTATTTTACAAGTAAATATAATGATTCTTTGTAGTTTTGTCCATTGCTGTTAAATTCAAAGGAATGATTTTAACAATACAGATCATGCAATGATATATATTTGAAAAAAAAAAATCACGTGGAAGTAACAGAATTTAAATATACAAAAATAAACATAGTTATACAAAAATTTTCGGTAGTATTGGTTTAAAATATTTAATATCGATTTTTTCTCTTTGCACCATGTTGCTCCACGGAATCAGCTATTCCACACTAGTAAAAAATGGCAACTAATAAACACAATGGTAAATAACAAACAACAATAATTGTTTTCGGCTTATTTAATATAGTTCGTGAAAAATTGAAAAAATTTGTTTAAAGGACTTCATCACTTTCTCTCCCTATCTGTTAGTAGAAAAAAACTTTGTTCTGCGTTTCTTCTTCATCGAAACAAACTGACAAGAATTTGAACTAATGATTATGCACACCTTTTGTATAGCAATAAAACATCAAAAATGCTTTTTTTTTTTCAAAATTAGAAATAGCATATAAAATAAATATAGGATTTTTTTAAAGTTTTTTTTTTACTTCTTATAGTGCGCAGCTTAGCAGTAAAAAATCAAAGAACGTATGTAACATAAGCAGAAAAATTTATTGAAATAAGGAAAGTAAAATTTTCTGCATTACTTCGGTCAAATATTAATAAATTAAAGGTCATAACAACTTTTTATTTTCTAGGAAAATTAAATGTAAAAATTTTTTTAAAAGAAAATTATTCTTAAGAAAACTAACATTAAGTTTTATCTGTGATTTTAATTTATATGGGGGGAAATATATTTAGAATAATAAAACTTGTATCCCTTAATAGTCATATTTACTATTCATAAGAGTAATATTTTAAAAATATTGTATTTATAATAAATTGCAATATATTTATGAATGTTGTGGATTATGAATGAAATTGAGATTGTGGATGGGCACAAAACTTGTTATCGCTTTTTTTTAAACATATGATTTGTTGGATTATGTTTTATAAATTCGCTTATAACGTCATTTACAAATTCCAAAATATACAATTCCAATGAATCAAAATAATGTAATGCCTTCCATTTTAGTTGCCAAATATTTTTAGAACTTTTTATTCAAGTAACGAGTTAATTTTATTCCAAAAGCAAATTCTGCATACAAAATGCATCGAAATCCATTACTTCGATTATTTTACTTATGTTCACAGATGTGTTGTGTACTTTATTTAAGTTCATTTATGTTTTATTTTTGATTCTAGCTTACTTTTATTCTTATTTTTTGTTTTAAGTTTTTTAAGCTCTTATTTTGAGTTTTTTTGTTCGCAGTCGAAGTTTAGACTTTAATTGAATTGCAGAAAATATAGTGACAAATCTTCTCTACATTTCGCATTTCTCTAACTTCTGCAATACACTTTTAGTACTATACGCCCATTTTTTTAGATCACCTTTTACAGTATTTTTGACCATGAACAGAAAAGAAAACGTGCCCTTTAGATGAAACTGTATGATAACTCGTATGTACACTAGTATGATATCTGGACACTAGTATGATAAGTATTGTCTAGATTATATTTACATCACAATAAGGGTTTGTTTATCGCTTTGCGTACCCCCATTTCAAATTAAACTTCTGAAAACTATTTTAATAACTTAAAAAAAACATCACGTAATTATCTACTTTAGATTTCAGACAATCAATCGATGCATATTTTCGTACGAATGCCAGTACTGTAATACTTACGTTGGTTGTTACCGCCCATCTGGATTGAACAACTTTTAAATTCGTGAAATATTAGGGAGATCTGAAAGTAATGTCATTTCGATGCACTTGATATTTGTTACCAAGATTTTATTTTTTATCAAAAATTTATTCACCCTCGTTATCAACAACCCTTCAATTCTAGATCGCAAAAAAAGGAATTTTTAAGACTATCGAATATTCAATGCGCCGAAGCGTCATTACTTTCCAGGTTTCCTGAATATTTACAAACATGATAATTACAACGCAACTCGAGCTTACACCCTTGAGTTTACACACACTTTTATTTGGATTTCGAATGATATTATAGAAAAAATTGTACGTTGAATCAAATTAATGATGAATTTAATTAAAAATAAAACATCTTTTTGAAAGAAAAAAAATCTTGTTTGCAAGTGTTCCAACAATTAAAGTATATAAAATGTGCAATGATTTTAATATTTTATTTTAGTTACTGGAATTTTCACAACGATTACTTAAATATTTTAAATATAATCAGTTATACTTTAAAAAAAAATCGTTTTCTTTAAAATGTATATCTAAATGTATGTATATTTAAAGTGTATTTGAGTGGAATAAAATATTTACATTTATTTTGTGGACTTGAAAGAAATATTTAGTTTATTATAACTCACTTAGTTATTTGGAGTTTTAACAGCTTGTACATTTTTTTATTATTATTTATTAAGGAAATTTGAGTTTATTACTAAACTTATTTATCATTACTGAAATATTTATTTATATATTCACATGTATGAGATATGTATTTACTAATGAAAAGAATTTTGATTTTTTCT